TAACACTTTTAGCCTTGAGAAAGACCGTCCCAAGTTTACATCATGATATCTGTTAGTGGACATGCAAAACTGTGACAGATCAAACTTCTATACAAAGGAGGAATCCCAATGGGGACTTTCTGCCCCAAATATGTTTGCCTTAAGTGCCACGATGCTTGCAAATTATTTCTTGGACTTGGACAATCTGTCCCGGAGTCTCTGAGAGACCTATCAATGCAGGCATATGGATACCAATGTGGATTCACTGTTTGACTTCTTTTCTCTGAGAAAGAAAGAAGATGCCGAGCATCACAAGAGGAACAAGTTTCTTAAAAATTGAATTGAGCGTGGGGCTTGATGGGGAAATCCACAAATCTTGGTTCTGAAAGGATCTTGTGCCTGCCACGTAGCTTTGACCAACGTACCCCAGCTGCCTTCTGTGACATCGCATCTCCCAGAGATCCTCAGAGGGACAGGTCCTAATCTCAAAAAAGCTTTCTTATGCTGATGCAGTTGACCAGAAATTCCTTGGGAGGACAGCTGGACTCTGTCTCAGATGTGTTCTCCACCCTTCCCTGCGTGACTCTGGACCACAGGAATGAATGGTGGTTTCCAGAAGAGCCCAGCCCTCCTGTCTTCCTCAATTCCCCACTCCAACAGGGAGACTGTGGCAAGAGATGGGAGCACGAGAGGATGGGGAACCAAAGCTTTGCTCCTTCTCACTCTACTTTGATGGGCATCACTAGTAGCAACCACATCTGTCCAGGATGCAGCTTCTACCAAATGGCACCCATTGTGGTTCTAGAATCATCCAAGAAGCCAGCGATGGGGGTCTGATAACACCATCTTTCCCTATGTCCCTCTTGCTCGTCCTCAGGTTGCTAATCTCTCAGTGTCTTACTGTCCTATCATGTCAGTTCTTCAATCACCTATGTCACCAATCCCCTATCTTAAATTCCCTCTGTTGGAAATTCCCAGTGTGATCATTATTCCCTGAAGGTATGTGCTTGATATGCTTATGGTATGGGCTAATTGTATGGGCAATTATGACATAACGAATACCAGACCTAGACTGGTCAAAATTATTTCTGCTGTGGAATATGTGCATGTTAATAATGACTGCAAGCGTCTCACTGGGCTGGTTGGGGAGAAATTTCTGTCTTACTCCTCACTGTGTCCCCAACACCTAATGTAGTGCTAGTACATCATTAATACACAGTGAATAGCACCTGCATGTTTTGACTTTCTAAAAGACAAGCAAAGGGATATTTTATGCAAACATTTTTAAATAAAGGAAAAAAAAACATGTTTATGTTACACTAAGAAAAGTAAGACTTAAAACCTTCATTTAATGTTTTTTAAATCACAGGAATCCCTGATATTCTGGAGTTTGACCAACCACTGGTCCATTATTTTAGCAATGCAATGACCCCAGAGGAACATAATTTTCCAGTTAGAAGAAAAAAAAAGTTAATCAGACTTGCCTTCAAAAAGGAAGATGCTGTTTCAGTGGAATTCCTTGCTGAAACCTAAATTTAACTAGTCAGTTTCTACCTGGGCAAAGTGTACTTACCTGTAAGAGGTAAATTATCACATCATAAAACTGTCTAGTAAGATTCTAGCTGTTTGAGGTGTTAAATACCTATGTCACCTTCAAAGAAAACCACTTTTGACATTTACTTCTTGGAAGAAAGGCAGGAGCTAAAGTAGGCAGGACTAGCCTGAGGCAATATTGGGGGGCCAGGGAAATTGTTGGTTACCTGCTTCACTGCCCTGGTCCACAGGTCCCCTTTCACCTCTCTCTGGAACTCTCTGCCACTCTCTCACCCCACCTGCCAGCACAGGGCATGCACTTCAGCTACAATAGTTTAGAAATTTGTTCCTCTTGTACGTTTTTACAATAATCGACTAGATTAGACGTTTCTCAAATTTTATCTGGAAGACTATCAGAACCAAGATTGCTGAGATTTTCTTAAGGTAGTTCCTGTTCAACAGTGAAGGAAGTTTGAGTGAGGCAGGGCATTTGTTTGTAGGAGGCAATATCATGGTGACTTGGTGACTTTGGGGACAGGGTAGGGGAAGAGTGATGAGATGGTATGAAATGGCTAGTATTGTGTACATTGATCAAAACTTCCACTCTGAATGAAGCTCTCCTATTTGCTTTTTTTTTTTTTTTTGGTACCAGAAATTAAACTCAAGGGCACTTTACCACTGAGCCACATCTCAGCACTCTTTATTTTTTATTTTCCAACAGGCTCTCACTAAGTTGCTCAGGGCCTCGCTAAATTGCTAAGGCTGGCTTTGACTCTGTGATCCTCCTAGTTAACTAAGTTTACAGGAGGGCGCCATTGCACCTGGCTCCTATTTGCATTTTTAAAAATAAATGCCCAAGCGATGTAGCTGCTACTGTGTGGCGAACACACTTTGAAAGAACCACTGTATTAGTGGCAGGTGCCCCCTAGGTTGCCTGAAGCAGGTTCAGATCATTCTAGATAAGATGGTTTGCCTGTTTCTGTATTTCCAAATGGGTCTGAGCATTAGAACTTTAAAAATAAACTAACAGGTTTCCAAATATGCTTTTAAAATACAATTTATCTGTCTTTACCGCCAAGATTCTGATTTATGAGGACTACGGTGGGATCTGGTGTGTTTCTAAGTTCCTGAGACTGCAGCCTTGGGGAGCCCTCCACAGGATGCCAGTGTGCAGAGATGGTGCTGTCTCTTACACCAGGCAGACCCCAGTCCATCCCTACCCACTACTTACCAACAGTGGAACTCCAGATAAGTTGCTGAAACCCTTTAAGCCTCAGTTTGTTCATCTCTAAAATGGAATCTTCATCTAAAATTGCATCTGTCGAGTGCCCACCTTGAAGGCAACCCTTCATTCTGAACTCTCTAAGGAGAAAAAAGGAAAGACACTATACCTGATGATGAAAAAAATTCAAATTGGGAACACTTGATAAAATGTCAGGGGCAAGAGGACAAACCATCTTAATCTTTCTTAGTAGCAGAAGGAGCACTTTGCTCGCAAAATTGCTTCCTTGCAAAGTGTTGGCTGCTTAGGCAATCCTCATAAACCATTTCATAGCTTCTTTCACTAAAGTGGAGGTTATTTTGACTCCCTACTTTTACCCATGGGCTCGACTTTGATCACTGTCCCCCAACTAGTTCTATATATATTTTTTAATTGGAGGGAAAAAAAATCATCAAGAAACTGAGAAAAGGGAATTAGATTCATCCTTCTAAACATGTCAGATTGATTAATAGATTTTACAGTCCCCTCTTGCCACAAGAAAATGAAGTGTGACTTAGCAGTTCACTTAATTTGTTCAATAAACAATTGCACAGTGCTAGACACAAGGCCTTTGCAGACAAATAAGACCAACCCTTCAGAGTTCTCGTGGTCAATGGAAGTAACAGCCTTTGAAGCAGACCCCCCCAATAAAATGTCACAGGTGCCTGAATAGGTGCATGCAGAGGGTCCAGTGCCTCACTAAAGAGTATACACCAGATAACCACAGTGCCTAACGTGTTTTTAAAAATCACCAGCAGTTCTATGAAGGGGAGAGTGAATGATTCATGACTGGACACAGGAAGACCATTGCTTTCTGAATTCAAGCATGCATAAAAATCACCTGGAAAAATTCATAAATTTAAAAAAAAAATCTGGGTCTCTCCCCAGTTCAGCAAGTCTGCAGGAGGTAATTTGGGGGGACTCCAGAAATGTATCATTTAAAATTTTTTTTTCTTGATGCTTCCTGTTTTATGTTTTTATTTTTTAAATCGGTCATTTGTTTATGTTCGTTACATTGAATATAGATCTATCAAATAGTTTGGGGGCTTTTATTAGAGCATGATAGCTATGCATAATAGTTGGGTTCATTTTGACAAAAGCATACATGCATGCAATGCTTTTATTTTACCAGGTTCCCAGGCAATGTGAGCCCCACTTAGCATGTCAGGGAGTGAGGAGCAAGCTGAAACCGTGCTGGCAAAGTGTGTTGATCAGAGCCTGGAAGGATCACTCACAAGGCAAACGTCCAGCGGCACTAACGCAGCAATGCTCATTATCGGGGGCAACATGAAGATCAGGAGCATCATACCATAAAGAGGGAAATGAAACGTGGACTTAAGACTCATCAACCTGAGTTCGAATTCAGCTTTGCCACTTACTGCCTGGCTGATTTTAAGCAAACTATCCTTTCTCTTGGGCAATTTCATCATCTTTAATAGGCACAGAACAATGCCAAACTCTCCGAGTGTTTACAAGATTAAAGGAGTGATCCATAAAGGGGACAGCATCTGCTCTTACCTCCCAGATCCAAAAGGTGAAGACAGATGTTTAGAAAAGTAACTTCCCTGTGAGGATGATCAGGATTAAAATCAAGTTGAGTAAAGCACAGTTCACTCCCCGTAGTTACCTCACAGGGAGATTTTGAAGGTGAAATGAAAACAAAGTTCCCATTATTATTTAATAGGTCCTCAGCTACCTTGATTTCTTTTTCCGTCCCTCCCATTAAGTCTGAGATTTCTAGACAAGTCCCGGGAAGTATAGGTGCAGAACAGAGCAGAGTTTGCATTCTGCTAAGCCAAGGTTTTGTGGGTTCCCCCAACATCTTAAGGGGACAATCGCCTGTCAGATGGCCCTCCATGTGGAGAACAGCCCTGAGTGCTTCCAGACCCCACGTGTTCGGCCCATGGATCACAAGGCATTGTTATTTCCCACTAATAAATCCACCCTACCACCAATGGCTCCTGTTTCTTCTGTGTGATGAAAGGCACGGGAAAACCTGCTGAAGTGTAACATTTAGGATCAAAAACTTGCAAATGCTTTTTAAAATTCTATTCGGAACGATCATGAAAGCCACTTTGGTCAAACTCACGGTGCATGTAAAGGGCTTTTTGAACTTTTTACCTTTTGGTGATGCTTTTGATCTGCAATGTGCCAGATCTCATTAAAAGCATATTATTTAGCTTAAACTTCGAACACTTACCATTTTCCCCAGTAGCCTGGGGCTCAGGGCAGTGTAATGCAGTTCATGCGAGCTTCGTGTCACGGCAACGTGTCATGAAGTGTCTGCCGGAGATATTGCTACAAAGCTGAGCTGGGGAGGGCTAGATTCTCCGCTCAGATGCTTGAGACGACTTTGCAAGGTGAGGTCAAAACTCGTCTGCCAATGAAGTGAATCCTAATTACTCAGGAATGCTCAGCCTGGGCTGGCTCCCACCCAGGGCAATCAATCTTAGCAGAAGAGCCAGAAACACCTGGCTTTCAGATCTCCATGACTTGCCTAGGTTTAGTTAAATGAATCGTCCTGTTTCTCAATCCTCATTCCATCTTTGGAGGAAAAGTACAACTTAAATTATGAGTCCAAATGCTGAATTGTGGTGTAGCTTTTCTCAGTGAAACGAAGGCGGTTGTGGTCTTAGGAGGTAAAGTGGTAAGTGATTGTTAATGTGAACAGAATGCCTAGGTGGAATCGCTCCCATAGTTTTCATTATATTTGATAGAACTTACTCTGCCTGATTCTTTATATACCCTTATGTGATGGGTAGAAATTAAACAGAAAATAAAGCCCTCGGGGCACAGACATGACTGACTGATTGAGAAACACTGCAAATCAAGGCAACACCAGACAGCGCTGGTGTGTTCCCACAGGTGACGTGCCTTTCTCTGTGTATGTAAGTCAGCCCCTTTTCTGCTTCAATAATGGGATTAACTGGGGGAGAAGACATAGTCCCTTTGATGATGCAGCTCAAAGTCAAAAACTAAGGAGGACCTGATATAACACCATGTTCAGAAGTTGGATGTTCACACCATAATTTGTAGGTCAATGATGGGGAAGGATCAAGACAGACGCCTATCTTTCCTCCCTGTCATCCTGCTGACGTGTAACCTCATGCCGTTTTGGACATAATCTCCCAGGGAGAAGGGAAGGGCAGAACAGGAAGGCGTGGTGTACTAGTGGGGGCTCTCCAGAGACACAACGACAGATCCCTAGAGGGACTTGTATATGGCGATGCATACTGCGTGTGCAAAACACACGTTGGCATTTCCTTCCTCCTGGCTCACATGATAATGGGTGCTGAGAAGTCCCAGGTTCTGCCTGCTGTCTACAAGATGGCATCCCTTAAAAGCATCACAAAGAACCCAGAACTAGGAGAGTCCATGTTATTCATTTGGATCTAAGATGAGCCCTGGGGAAGGAAAAAAGGGGCAAGTTGTAGCTTTAGCCATCTTTTGTTCTGTTCAGGCCCTCCACGAATTAGGTGATGCCCACCCACACTGGGGAGGACAGTCAACTTGAATGAGTTCACCAATTCAAATGCTAACCTCAGCCAGAAACACTCTCACGGACACACCCAGAAATATTTAGTATGAGTGCACCACGAACCAGTCAAGTAGACACATAAAATTAACCCCCACAGGTGGTGTCTGCCCCCATGTCTTCTTCTTACTTACCATAGACTTCCTGTTGTCTTATTGGCCATAATTAGGACCCACGGCCAAATTCCTTTACATAAATGCAAAGGAAACTTGAAATTTAGAAAGGAAGATGATTATAATTGCTTGAGCCAATCACCATCTATCCCCTGAAATTGGACTTATTGCCAATCCAAACAAAACCAGGGCCCCATTAGCCAGAAAGAAGGGGGGAAATTGATATTAGATAAGTAACTAACAAGGGCTTCTAATACTTTTCATTTGGGGATATGGGAACTTCCTTATAAAGTTCATAGATGAAATAAGACAACGGGACTCACGGGTGTAAATATAACCTCATAAATATCTTGATATGGTATGGCAAGAATTTGAATTGACTGGGTTTGTGAGTGACTCCAGGTGTGAGTCTGGTTTTGAAAGAAGATCTTTAACTCAGAATCATGCCACCAGCCTCCTCGTGATCCTTACTCCCAAGTGAGACCCCGGCTTTGATCCCAAGTTCTGGGGGGTGCAGGGGAGAGACTACAAATAAAGAACAAGGCTGGTCCTCTTCCCTGGGCCTGTGCCTAAGCCCTGGAGGCACAAGATCTCTACCAACCTCTCATCCACAGCAAGGGGCCTCCCAGCTTTCTCATAAGCATGATTTTCTTTCCTTTCTCTTCAGTTCCTGACCCGTACCTTTCCACCCATCCCAACTTCCCACTGACTCTCAGCACGAGAAGCTCTCAAAAGAAAACTCTAGAACCATCCAGAGGCGTAGAGGTCTGGCTTTGCTCTTCAGAACCCCTGGCACTGTGACCAACTCCTTGATTCTCACACAGGGGTGGGTAAACTTATTTACATGTCCAAGAAGCCATGTGGATGGAGGATGTGACCCTACCTAGTGGATTCCTGTGCATTCCCTCTGATAAGTTACCTAAAAATGATCTCAGGACCCCTTCCCTCTGAAGTCTCATGTGGCGTCTGACTCATCAATTCCCCAAGTTCAATGATTTCCCAGTAGCACCATCACTCAGGGGTTGGGGGAGGAGGGGCGACTTCACAGTAAATTAAGTACAATTAGCAGAGCAAACATCAGTGCCACCAGCCCAGGGAAGAAGTCATCACTCAGCCTTCATTCTCGACACCCACTAAGGCTTGAACCATTTCTCAAGTCAGCGATCTAAGTGATCATCATCATGAGCACACTCCTAAATTAGGGAATCCTCATTAAGGGGTACCATAAAGACATTAAACTTCAGCCTTTGCTCGGAAGTCGAAGTAATAAAGCTTTCTGAGAAGTGATAGCTTATATTCTTGATCCGAACCATAAAAAAAAAAAATAGCTAAGTACTTTCTGATGCTTTGATAAGCAAGGCTTTTTAAAATGTTCTTTTGAGAAACATTCCCTCGGATGATGGACATAAAGAGCTGCAAGGGACCTTTGAAAGCATGTATTTCTGCTCTTTCATTTAACAAATGAAAAGACTGAGGCCCAGATATGTCAGATCATTTGCTCAACGTCTTATAGCTAGTTGGCTGCAGAACTAGCTTAACCTCAGATACAGCCAGAAAGGAACCTCACTGAGACAGAAGTCTCATAAAAGTATTCCTACTTCTCTGTTTTTGCCAGCTCCAGTAGACACCAGGAAGAATCTGGAATCCAGGTGAATGAGCAAAACTATGAGTAGGAACCAACTTTGCTGAGACCGTAATGTCAGGCTTCCAGCCTCCAGATCTGTAAGAGAAATTTCTGTTGTTGAAGTCCCACAGTTTTCTGATACTTTGCTATGATTTTCAAGTAGGTTTCAGGTTTAGAGAATAAAAACTGAGGCCATTCAGTTAAATCCGAATTTCAAGTGAACAATGAATAACCTTTGAGTATTAGTATAGCCCATGCAATATTTGGCACATACTGATTCTAAAAATACATGTGTTCTATCTGGAATTCAAGTTCAGACAAGCATCTTGTACATTACCTGACAATCCTAATTCCAGCTCTATGAAGATGATAAAAAAAAAAATAGCATTGAGAATTGCTAAACTTTTAACATTATATCCAACTTCTAGGGCTATCGTAACAAAGTACCTCAAACTGGGTGGCTTAAACAAAAGAAATAACATTGTCTCACAGTTAGAGGCCAGCAGGTTGAGATGAAGGTATCAGCAAACTTCCTGCCTTCTACAAATCTGTTCCATGCTTCTCCTGCCCGTGGTTTGCCAGCCATGTTTGGGGTTCCTTGGTTTGTAGACAGAGTGCCCCAAATTCTGCCCATGTGTTCATAGGACTTTTTCCCGGTGTCTGATTTCCCCCCTTTTAATAAGGACATCAATCATGTTGGATTACCATCCCCCCTAATAACCTCATTTTAACTAATTACATCGGCGGTGACCCTATCTTCTCCAAACAAAGTCACATTCTGAAAGATTAGGGACTAGAACTTCAAGATATGAATGGGGACACTATTCAACCCATAAAAAAAAATAGCAGTGAGAACTACAGATGGCTTGCGACACACTGTCAAGGACAATAGCTCTTAAAGATACACACAAGATACACTTGGTTTCCGACCTACAGTAGTTCAACTTGCATTTTTTTCAATTATACAACAGCACAAAAGTGATACACATTCGGTAGAGTCATATTTAAAATTTTGATTTTGGATCTTTTGCTGGGCTCGTGATAGGTGGTCATATCATCTCTCATGAGACCCGGCAACAGCCACGAGACACAGCCCCCATCAGCCCTGCAGTCCTAAGGGGCAATGACCAACACTACAGTGTGCTGTGTTGCTGAACAACGGTGCTGGGTGGGCTAGGTGGAGCAGGTGGATTTTTGACTTAATCACATTTGCAACTTAAACATGGAGCATGGGGCATAACCCCATCACAGGTCAAGGAGCATCTGTATTTCCAAAGAAACCTGGATCCTCCTCTGCCCTTTGCTGTTTCTCTCTGTGTCCTTCTTGCTACTTAATACCTATCACAGGATTATTCTTAGACTTTGCTCTCAGCACTGTTCTTGCCGTCAGGGCTGGCTTTCCACAGAGGACCTTGCGTCTCTCTGGAAAGGTGTACCCCAGGCTGGTAGCCAAGCTCTCCTCACCAAACAGGTAACTGTGGGACTCAGCCTTGGTCTCTTCCTCTGGGAGTCCTCATCCAGTGTCCACTTGTGTGGCCCTATCCTTTCTGGGCATATTGCTTGCTGAGTCGTGTTGGCAATGACAGAGGAGCAAGAAAGACCTTTTGTTAAGAAAACTTGCTTCCTGCTTAGAGCTTCAGCTGAAAGTGGATTCTAGGTTGGGTGTGGTAATACCTATTTAAT